GGTCTGTCCTGTAGTAGGTGATTTCTGGGTACCCGACTTGCTCTGTCAATCTGTTTCCTCACTTCCCCAGGTGGGTATTGTAGTTTTACAAATGCTTGATAGCTGATGTGTAGACATACTCCTAGGTGCAGGAGTGATGGAAGCTCCCTAAAAGTGTGGGGAGGGGGCACCGGCGTCCAAACTGTGGCTCCCGCCATCCCTTCTTCTGAGGCCCTTTTAAAAGTGATGGGGCCATGGCCCCCTGGCCCACACTGTTCTGGCGCCCCATCTACATGCAATCACTATAGAAATAATACTATTAATTGTCACTGATAACAAAATTCCAGGTGAAATTGGTAGAACTTCCATTGGCTTCAGTGGGGCCTAGATTTCACCCCCAGTCTGTAAAAGGCTTTGAAATCCTTTGTAGGGAAGGTGCTATAGAAGAATAGGTGCTACTGTTAGTAGAGATGGTCAAAAATGTAAGTATATTCACAGAAAAATGGGAAAAATTAACTTTTGTTAAAAAAAAATTGTAGTGCAATTTTCCACTATATTTTATGGAGTGGGGGTTGGGAAACTCCCCCAATTCTTTTTCATTTTTTACACTAGAGAAGAAGGCAGCAAAAAAACAAAAGTGTGTTTTTCACCCTCAGAACAAAACAAAGATTGCTGGGGGAAAAAAATCACTTTTCTCTTCATTTTTTTGATTCAAACTTCATCAAAAAGCAGAAAATTTCAGATACAAGGAAAAATATTGTGAAAATGTTCATTCTGGCAGAAAAGGCATTGCTGTCAGTGAAAAGTACTTTGATTAACGTGTCAGGTCTAAATATCAGTTGTTATTTAAGGAAGTGCAGCCCTGGGGAGATAGTCTCCTAGTGCAGAGTACATACCCCCACATTTCCCTGGATTTGGGTGTCTTTTCACAAGTCAGAATTGTGGTCGTGTCTGAGGGCGGCCTGCTGAGCTAAGCGTTTTAAACCTTATGCAGCTCTGACCGTCATTGAGAAATGGAAGTATAAGGTGCACATTAATATGCAAACAATGGCTTGTTTCTGGCAAAGCTGAGATGGGTGTCGCTGACAAACGCACTCATTTTTGTAGCGTTCCAATTCCCCCCTCCCCCCAAACATACACATATGTGGTTTCTCAAGAGCTTTTTGTCCTTTCCCTGGGATTTGAGTTCCTCTCACAGGTAAGAAGCAGCAAGAGAAACAGCTGTCTCTGTTTGATTGCGGTTGCGATTAAACTGCAGGAAACATACACCAACAAATTATATTAAGTACCAAGCACAATAAAACTTGCCAGGTAAACACTTCACTACTAGACAGTGGAAAGGTTTCATCCCAGCTGCCACTTCACGGTCTCAGGGTATATCATTAATAGAGGCGAGTTGTAATGGTCTGGAACCACATCTGGGCATGATGGAGACTTCACAATGGAAAGAGGCTATTTCCAACTCCCATCCTCCAACATTTCACCCTTTTCATTTCAGTTTCATGATCATCATTATGTTAATTACTTATTAAGTATGATCACTATTGTGACAAATGTCTGCTCTGCTCTTTACAAATAAGTCTGCAGATGAGGGTCATAAACTCTTTGGGTTAGGCACTAACCAGGATCCTGCACTCTAAGTATTTTAATAAAACTAATTAATGATACTCTGCCCTTCTATACCATCAGTCACCCAAAGACCCCAAAGCTCTTTAAATGTTAAATAAACCTCACCACTTCCTTTCTCTATCCATTAAAAACCTGGAAAAACAGAGGCACCGAGAGATTAAATGGTCATTTAATGAGTCAGTTACAGGTCCTAGAATGGGACCCAGGAATCCTGACAAAGTCTTACGCTCTAAAAACAATCCCACCATCACCAATGTTCGTCCCATTGTTTCTTACACGGAGCAAGGTCACTTGACAAAACAAAGGGCACGTACTTGACTAATAACATCTCATCACAGTTGGATATTTATTTCGTGCCTGATTTCAACAAACACAGAGAAACTGGGAATTATCACAGGAATTGTTGGGTCCAGTTTGAAAGACGATGTGTTCATGCTATACGTGTACAGTGCCTAGCACAATGGAGCCCTGATCTCTGACAGATGCAATCACAAGACAAATATTATTTCATAATAATAATTACAAAAAGTCAAACACTTTTACCGGTGAAAAATATCTACGCTCTCTCATGAATTTTAGCTCATGCTGACGGCTTTCCCCAAGATTATCCCACCGGGAATTACATTGACCAGTGACCCCAGCCGGGGCAAATGTCAGTTCAAAGGGGAAAAGGGTCATTTTGCTCTTCCTTTTGAGCTTCTCTCTCTACCACTTAGGGTCAAATGCCAAGGTGTGAAAGCCAGATGATAATGGCTAATGTTGCAACTCTGACCGGTGGCAATTGTCATTCACCTGTGGTGAAACCGGCTAACCTAAGTCACGTACTCAGATAGAGATCTGCAAAAAGAAGAACAGGAGTACTTGTGGCACCTTAGAGACTAACAAATTTATTAGAGCATAAGCTTTCGTGGACTACAGCCCACTTATTCAGATAGAGATCTGTTCTTTTTAAAAGCCCTTTTATTAGTCCAGGTTAATATTACTCCAGGAGCCTTATGTGAAAGTAAACTTCAAGGAAGGTGGTACCTTTAGGTGCAGTATTACCTTTCTTCACTTTCTATACTGCATGTACCTCACAGAATACATTCTAAACTGTAAATAAACTGTATTGTTCCAAACCCATGACCTACCCCCTGGTTTAACTTGCAGATAAGCAATGCATGTGCACTGCATGAAATGACCACACTGTGCCTTTAACTGTTGCCTTGCTGTATGGAGATTGCCTACCTAACTCCAGCTACTATGGTGATCGGGGCTGTAGAAAAACACCTGCTTTTGGGGAAATCTAGAATTTTTGTTGGCTCAGAAAAAAGGTAAAAGGAATCACCTTGTAGTGTAATAATTAATGGTCTAAGGAATTTTCTTTTAGAATCTATTTTTGTCTTTAAAATGAGACACTGTCCCACCCTGACATCAGAGACTCAGGGGAAATAAATTATTGGCAAATCTAGTCCATTCCCATGGGACTGTGCAGGATTTTTCCCTCCAGTATTTTGCTAGTACTCCGTCCCATCTACTTTTTAAAATCTCAAGCGACAGGGTTCTCTCCTCCTTCACTTCCTTGCAACATACAGCACAAGAATAGTGACACAAACAAAACAAATCCTTAGTGTCTTGGACATTCTTGGTTCAGGGCTTTTTTAAGTCCAGTCCCATTCTTCCCTGGCTTAAAGAGGAGATATTTTCTTACAATATAGAAGCCGCAGGTTTGCAAAACAAAATATGATGAAGCGTGAGAATAATTTCACAGTGCCAATAGCAGCTAAAGTGAGAGAGAAATCCAGAGAGCTAAATGACTGGCATTGTTCACTGCTGTACACCTAACGCTGGAGATAGACACCTATCCCATGGAACTAGAAGGGACCTTGAAAGGTCATCAAGTCCAGTCCCCTGCCTTTACTAGCAGGATCAATTTTTTTTGCCCCAGATCCCTAAATGGCCCCCTCAAGGATTGAACTCCCTAACCCTGGGTTTAGCAGGCCAATGCTCAAACCACTGAGCTATCCCTCCCCCCTTTGAACAGTCTCTAGTATTCAGTCTGTGTGCTACCTGCATCATCGCTGGTTTCAGTTGTCAAAACAAATCACATCACATTTAATTCTTTTTAGTAGCACCTCTTCTGCTCCTCAAAAAAAAACCAAAAAACAACAACAACAAAAAACCTTTTCTATCTCAAGTGACACAAAAAGCATTTGTTCCCAATGTGGCATCATGTTTTTAATATATTTGGTGCATGTTTTGATGCCATTCACTGTATCCTAGTGGTTAGCAGCACCGTCCAGCATTACTTCCTAATCTGCTCCCAAAGATCACAGGAAAACAAAAACACATTACAAGGAGAACATCTACCCCTCGCTCTCTCCAGTCCAAGAGACTTGAGACGATCCAGACTTCAATGATCTAGATAGGTTTTTAGAAACCTCTGCAGATAATCCCCCATGTGCAATTCAAACAAACGCTGGAAATAACAAACCCTGTACAATTCCACTGTGAAAATGTTGCATGTCCACATTTTAAATGTAAGGCTATCTACTCACTAGGGCAGACTCGCACATACACATAGGATTTATGACACTCTACACAAGCAGAAGACCTGTTCTATTGGGTCCACATTTTTTGCAGGGGGTGGGGAGGGAGGACCCAGAAAATTGATCTGACAGGTTGGGGAATCTGAAATCTTGTTGTATTTTCCAGAGTCCCTTCTACTAGTTTGGGGCATTAAATGAGTTAGATGGGATCTTCAAAAATCTTCCAAAGAGGCACAGTTTTATCCCATGTCGAACCTTATCACTGAAGCAGCAACATCTGGATTTTAAAAGGGATTAAAGATTTCTCTGGATAACAAGAATATCTAGGGTTATAACCGTAAATATTAAACATAAACACTCATCTTGGACCAGATACAAACCCTCCACGGCACAAGCCAACCACTGACTACTGAGATTGGGGGGAAAGGCTATCCCAGAACTGCTACTACAAGGTTCCTTGCACCTTCCTCTGATTCATCTGGTCCTGGCCATGGGGTAGATGGACCCCTGGTCTGACCCAGGCTGGCGTCTCCTACATCCAGAGCCCTGGGACTCAATCCCCCGTGTCCTTTAAACTGCAGCCCTGCCCCAGAAGTAGAGGGAAACACCCAGAAAAAGCCGGTTCTCTTTCTATCCACGACACACTCCTCTTCTCTGCCTCCAGCGAGGGAGCAACTCATCCCGAGCATCCCAAAGGCCAGTCCCATCCCGCACCCAGAAAGTTGGCTCCTCTCCTTAAAAGCAAAGAGAGCCGAGGGGACCGACCCCCAAAGGCACCGCCATCTCGGCCGGGCTAGCCCGGAGAGCCAAGGGCAGAGGGTCAGCGCGGAAGCCGGGCTCCGAGCAGGGGCTTTCGCTACTCACCTGTGAGGATCAGCATGGCAAAGTAACAGATCCCCCTCATCCTATTGACTCTGGGCAGATCCGGAGCTGGAGGGGGCGGGGGAGGGCTTCGGTTCGCACCCTCGGGGGGTCTAGCAGGCGCTGCGGGGCTCGGGAGGGTTAATCCCCCCGGGGCATGCCGCTCTTTGCCGGGGAACGGGACCCCGGGTCCTGCTGGGGCATGGTCCCCGATGCAAGCCGGCTGCTCCCGGGGGCCGGGCTGGCTCCACGCGCCAGCCCCGGAGCAGGGCACCGGCGGCTTTTGCAAACTTCTCCCGGGGAGGGGCCGCGCGGGGAGCCCCCGGGCGGTGGGGGGGACGGGGCTGGCTCGCCTGCCCGGGCAGCGCGGCGGGAGCGGCGCTGCAGGTTGCGCTGCGGGGACCGGGGGAAGGAGGGTCTCCCCGCCGGGGGGTGGGTGGGGGTGCTCCGCGGGCTGCCTGCTGCTGCCGCCGCCTCAGCCGCCTTGCCGGCTCCTGCCGCCGCCGCCGCTGCAGCTCCGGCTGGGCAGGGAACAGCGGGGAGAGTCTTAAAGGCGCAGCAGCGCCGCTCCTCCTCCACCCCCCACCCCTCCCGTGGGGCACCGGATCCGAGCTCTGCCCCCCACTCTCCCGTGGGGCACCGGATCCCTGCTCTGCCCCTCCCCTCCCTCTCGTGGGGCACCGGATCCCTGCTCTGCCCCCACCCCTCCCCCTCGTGGGGCACCGGATCCGTGCTCTGCCCCCCACTCTCCCGTGGGGCACCGGATCCCTGCTCTGCCCCCCACTCTCCCGTGGGGCACCGGATCCCTGCTCTGCCTGTCGCCCCTCACCGTGGGGCACCGGATCCCTGCTCTGTCCCTTCCCCTCCCCCTCGTGGGGCACCGGATCCGAGCTCTGCCCCCCACCCCTCCGTGGGGCACCGGATCCCTGCTCTGCCCCCTTATTCCCCCTCGTGGGGCACCGGATCCCTGCTCTGCCCCCTCCCCTCCCTCTCGTGGGGCACCGGATCCGAGCTCTGCCCCTCGCCCCTCATCGTGGGGCACCGGATCCGTGCAGTACCCCAACCCCCATGGGGCACCGGATCCGTGCTCTGCCCCGCCCCCCGCGGGGCACCGGATCCGTGCAGTACCCCCAACCCCCATGGGGCACCGGATCCGTGCTCTGCCCCGCCCCCCGCGGGGCACCGGATCCGTGCAGTACCCCCAACCCCCGTGGGGCACCGGATCCGTGCTCTGTCCCCTTCCCTCCCCCTCCCCCCCCGTGGGGCACCCAATTCGAGCTCTGCCCCCTCCCGTGGGGCACTGGATGCGTGATCTGCCCCCTCCCACCCACCGGGGCACCGGATCCGTGCTCTGGTCCCTCGCCTCCCCCCCGCTGTGTGGCATCGGATCCGTGCTCTGCCACCCCTCACCAACCCCTCCCCGTGGGGCACCGGATCCGTGCTCTGCCCCCTCCCCTCCGCCCCGTGGGGTACCCGATCCGAGCTCTGCCCCCTCCCGTGGGGCACTGGATGCGTGCTCTGCCCCCTCCCCTCCGCCCCGTGGGGTACCCGATCCGAGCTCTGCCCCCTCCCGTGGGGCACTGGATGCGTGCTCTGCCCCCTCCCCGCCCCTTCCCGTGGGACGTTGTCCCCTTGTTCTGGGGCCCCTCCCACCTGGGGCATTGTTACTTTCCTCTGCCCCCTCCCCCCGTGGTGCATCGGCCCCTTACTTAAGGGCCACTCCACACAAGGGCTTTGAGCTCCCCCCTCCCCCTCCTTCAGCGCTCTCCCTTTCCACCCCTCTAAAGGAAACACACACCGCCAGTTGTCCTCTGTGAGCCCCAAGCCCATTTCCCCATGAGCCCCCAGCCCGACCTTCCTCCATGAGCCCCCCTTGTCCCCATCAGCCCCTCTCTCTGTAGTCCCTGGGGCTACATCTTCCATGAGCCCCCCAGTAACTGTGATCTCCAAACCATATCCTCGAGGAGCCCCCATCTTGTCCTCATGAATCCCCAGCTACATGACCCCAGCCCACATTCTCCATGAACCCCCATCTCATCCCCATGAATCCCCATCACCGTGAGCTCCAGACCCTGTCTTCCAGGAGCCCCAAGGCCATCTCCTCCATTAACCCCAATCTCATCTCTATAGCCCCCAGGCCACATCCTCCATGAGCTCCCCATCTCCATGATCTCCAGACCACATCCTCCATGAATACCCCTCTTGTTCCCATGAACCCCCATCTACAGGACCCCCAGGCCACATCCTCCATGAGCCCCCTCATCTACATGATCCCTTGGCTGCATCCCCAGGAACCTCCTGTCCCCGCATCTCCATGATCCTCAACTCACGTCCTCCATAAGCCCCCTAGTCCACATGACCCCCAGACCTCATCCCCCATGAGCCCCTCCTTCCCCCCATCTTGTCCCCATGAAACCCACTCTACATGACCCCTGGGCCAAGGCCTCCATGAGACCTTTGTCTCTGTGACCCCCAAGGCACATCATCTGACTCCTCCATGAGCCTCGTCCCTGCCTTAAACCTCATGGCATGCCCCTGTGTGCCTCTCTCCATCTCCTTTAGCCTCATGTGATGATTCTCATGGCCTTGAAGGTGACCTCCATAGGGAAAAAGTCTGTGCCTTTTTTCAGAGTGCTCTACAGAACTTTCCATCCTTGCCTCCTAAAGTCCTTTACAATGTGAGTAACAGGCACCTGCTCACTGCATTGGCAATGAGGCTACAGCACAGAACAGATAGAGCAAAGAAGTCAAGGGACTTGTACTTGCCCAAGTTCACACAGCAAGTCAATGGTAGCATCAGGACTAGAGCCAAGTTCTCCTCATTCCCAGTTCAGTGACCTACCCATTGGGTCATGCCGCCATATTCTTCCTTCGTTGTGATTTAGTTTAAAAAGCCTGGACTTCACACTCACCCCATCCTCCTCTGGTTAACAAATGGATATCAGAAGCATCAGGAACACTGAGGCTTATCTTTCCTCTTTGTGATGGAGGACTTCCCTTTGGGAATCACAGATGTGCAGATGGTGAGGCAGGAGGTGGTGTGAACTTTTACATAGAGAGCTTTTCTCCCACCTATGTGCAAGGTGTCGGAGTTCAATGAGTGTTAATAAAACAATGACAACAACATCTAAAGTCGGGCTAAAAGTCCCTTCCCACTGGAACTGCTCAGGGTTTTTCTCTATTTTTTTTGTAATGCCATGATGAAATTAGTTCTCTGGATCCTCCAGACAAACCAGGGAAGCCGTGTGAAAAACAGAGGGGGAAAATGAACTAAAAACACACTTTCTGGGTTATCTATATGCACATCATAAAGAAACCAAAGAAAGCACAAACATATTTCCTCCTGTCAGGTTACCATTAAGACCCATGCCAAGTCCATCAATCTCTTCTCCTCTGGAACAAAGCAGTAAGATGTAGACACTCTTTTCTGCTGCTTTCTTTACACCGTGCCCTGTTTTAGAGGGTGCATCAGTGGGGCGGCATAGTGGGATCTATGTCTGCACTGAAGCAATGTCCTCTGGACAGCCTGTACTGGGGTGCTTTGGCGAAGGGGACCCTTGTCCCATTCCAAAGGTCAGCTGAAGGCACCAAGCTAGATTTTCCTCTCACCTACGCCACCGTCAATCAGGACAACTCTCCTGAAGCCAGCAGGGTTACACCAGACACCTTATGTCGATGGAACAGAAAAACTGGATGCACAACACCACTTTTGCACCAGCTCTTGCAAAGCGGGTGCCGGCTAGGTAAGGCACTGCCACTCTTTTCAGCTTGCTGAAGGCAGTAGACTCACCTAAAGATGAATCTGAGCCGTAGTCACGTGCCAGCACTGAATGTTCCCAGAATCCAAGGGTGTCCGGAGCTGGTTTGGCCCATCACAGAGACAGCACTAGGCTTAGGCGATGAGCAGCACCCGGCAGGGCAATGCAGAGGCTGAAGAGAATTGAATGGCACAAAAGCAACATGACCTCCTTCACTATAAGTAGCCTGTGAGTGGGGAATGGGGAAAGTCCAGTGTGGGACAAGACCTTTGATGTGTCCCAACACTGAGGCATTTCCTGTCCTTTAAATGTGCTGGGGGAGGCTAAACCCTTAGAAACAGCCACCCAGAAGGGATGTGCTGCAAATGTGGCTAAGTGAGAAGAGTCACCACTCCCTGCAGGGGTCTGTGAATTGAATTATAACTTGTATTAATCACCCCCCCCCATGGGTCCGGGAGGTTTACCTGTTTGCTCCCCCTTACAGAGCCAAGAGATTGATCAATCCATGTCTAAAAAAGCCACTGCGCATCATGCTAGCCCAATCCCGAATAATGATTCTCCATGAGGGCTAGGCTCAGAACGCCAATGAAAGGAGGAATTGTTTATGGTGGTCCCGGGAGTGCAGAATTAGGAGGAGTGGGATGAAAAGGGAAAAATTCAACTGATAAAAAGAGCTCCGAAGAGCGAAATCTATCACTGCTATTATTCTGTGTGTCACACTAGCCCTACGGGTCCCAGCTGAGATCGGGGCCCAGTGTGCTGGGAGCTGTACATACACACAGTAAAAGGCAATTCTTCAATACAGGAATAAAAAAGCCCACTGACCGTACACCCCTAGTTGTCATCTACCACCCCACACTGGAACCCATACCAGATATCATCAAACAGTTTCAAACCATATTTGCTGGGGACCACATCCGGAAATAAATCTTTCCCAAACTCCATCTTCTACCTTTCAAACAACCCCCCATCTCGCCAAGTTCATCACCAGAGCAAGCTCCCTACGGAACAACGCAAAGTGGCACCAAACCCTGCCAGAACAACAGATGCAAAACCTGCAGCTATATCTCCACTTAGGGTGACCGTATTTCCCAAAGGGAAAACAGGACACTGTGCAGGGCTGGTCCAAGCCCTCCTCCCTCCCCTGTGAGGCTGGGAGTCTCTGCTCGCCCAAGCCCTCCCTGACCCTCGTGCAACTGGCTGTCGCTGCACAAGGCGATCATTCCTTGCTCCAGCACTGCCTGCTCCCCCCCCCAATGCGAGGCTGGCATCGCCCCTTGCCACCCCACATGTTCCACTTTTGACAAAAGTGGGCATTTGTCTTGTTTGCTCTTGCCAGCTGATCAAGTCAGCAAGAGCAAAACAGGACAAATGCCTCCTTTTGGAAAAAAAAAGTCTGGACGGCCAGGACAGGGCTTAAAAAAGGGACTGTCCCGGCCAAAACGGGACATATGGTCACACTCCACTGCTACCATGATCAGTGCTCCCAAACAATACATCTTTCAAGATCCATGGGTCCTACACACACCTATCACAACATGCGGCATACCTTGTCCAGCGCATCAAATACCCCATCAACAACAATGTGGATGAAACCAGACAACCGCTACACTCATGAATGAACTCACTCCGAAAAATGATAACCTATCACCTGTGGGTAACCACTTTTCACAAAGCGGTCATTCCATATTGGATCGCTCAGTCCTTCTCATCAAAGGAAACCTGCAC